AAAAAAAAAAAAAAAAAAAAAGAAGAAAACTTAGGCTAATAACCTGCACATATTTAATCTTGATCTTGCAGCTCCAAAAGTTCTGTTCTGCTGCATATCATAATGGCTATCAAAGACCATCTAAATAAAAATGATAGAAGCCTATAGATTCTTTCTCCCTGATAAACCTAACAGGCATCTCCATAATCCCTGACTCCTCGCTTCAAATTACAAATCAATTTCTTTTTCCATTAATCAGGTATTATTTGAATAGTCAAACTAATTGGCTATTCACATTCCCTGTAATGTTTGATCCATCGCCATAATTTTACTCTTCCTGACATTTAGTTCGACAATGCGAGTTTGATAAGGACTTCATATATTTTTAAAGCCTCATGTCACACAATTCTTTCGTGCATTGGCATACAACCATATAACATCGTCTCATCCATTTTAAAGAGGTCACCTTGCATGAACTTCACTGAATACACCAAGAAAAGTAGCAAGCCCAGGCATAAATTCAAAACAGAGGTGACCTACATGGCTAACAATATATGTTTTTGAATGTTCTTACCAATCTGTTACAGTTTAGTTTAAAGAGATCTCATATACTGTGTACCATGACACCGTTCCTCAATGGGTTCACAAAAACAATGTGATCAGACCTCCATCTGTATGCACCTCAATAACTATAAGGACAAAACCACCATTTAAAAATTTCCTACGCCATATGAGAAAGAAAGAATGGAGTGGTCTACCAAAATGGAAATCACAAAAGCAATGCAGACACGTAGGTGAGGCCACAATATACTACTAAGAAAGATGACACCACACCCCTGCCAAGACATCATACCACATTCATTTGAACAGCTTCTCATGGAAAATTAACAAAAGAATTTAGTATTGCAAGGAGCCAAGTAGTTTTACTGGTTAATTTGAGTAGACAAAGATACAATAAACCAAGACAAGGGGGAAAAACCCTGTGTATATGACTGCACGCATGCATACAAGTGCATAAGAGGGTGTGTGTGTGTGTGAAAGAGCTCTAGACAGAAATTTAATATTAGAGAGGTTTGAGTATAGAATTTCTAGAGACTTTGAGCTATTAAAGCACCCATGACATGAAATAGATTCAGTAGAGATGGCTTCTAGGGCTCTTCAAACAACAAAAATCCCATCACGTGAATCAGTGTTTCCAAGTGAACCAGAACCCATTAGCTTATTGTATCTAAGAAATCATGTGCAAAAAAGTAACAGTCAAATAATCATCCAATCAACATCCAGCTGTTCTTTTCGAAGGGGACATAGCAAGAAAATTGTACATCCAAATGCATCCAATGATACGAGGAGGTAGGTTCAGATTTCCAAAAAAAAGTCTCTCATTTCCATGCTGCAACTATATTCAAGCAACTGCCAATAAAAATAGTCAGAATTGGGTTGAGAATGGTGCATGAGAAAGTGAAGCATTTAGCGGAACAGAAAACAGATGCATTCCAAATACAGAAGAACAAAAATGAAATGCATATTTGACAGTAGATAGAAGACTTATTTCCCATTTTACAATTAACCAATAACGAGTAAAATGCTCTTACTTGCAGCCGCAACAGGCCCTTCTCGTTCCCCTGATCAAGTGGGCGCTGTACCAAGCTGTTCCAATAGCATTTAACTGAGAATGGCTCAAACCTCAAGAATGCCATGAGAGAAAACAAATCCAATGAGCCATTTTGTATGGGTGTTCCAGTAACAACCCATCTCCGCTTAGCATTCAAGTTAGTAACTGCACGGCTTTGTTGAGCATTGGCATTCTTAATTATATGTGCCTCATCCAAAATGACTCGCCACCACTCTATTGTCTTAATAGGAGACTCCAACCAACGTTCTTCAGTAGCCAGAGTACTATAAGTTGTCAAAACAATATCATACTTCTGAAGCTCGTCAGGATCATTCGTCCGTCCTCCATAATACAGATACACCTTCAAACTTCCTGGTATAGTGTGCTCTCCTAATTGTGTCACCCATGTCGAAAAAACAGATGGTGGACATACAATCAAGGTTGTTTTCGAAAAAGCAATAGATCCACCAGAATCACCAACTGATTTCCCTTTCACCTCTTTATCCACATGGGTGTCCTCAGTTTTTCTTTTTTTACCTGAATTCCAGACCAATTTATTCACTCTCCCCCTCTTTGACTTCTTACAGAATGAAATATCAGGGTTCTCTCCTCCTCCTTCTAGTTCCTCGTATTTTTCTAAATTTATACCTCCAGTATCGATTGAAGAAGGCATAACACAATGACATTTATCGAAAGCAATCAAAGAAAGCAATGTCAGAGTTTTACCCAAACCCATATCATCGGCGAAAATTCCACCACGTATTGGCTCTGGCCGCTTATGTGTTTGGTAATTTGTCAACACATTCATGTAAGACCCATCTTTCTCCTCCCAAAAAGGTGGCAATTCACAAGAATTTTCCCTATGAACCAACCACCCCAAACCTTCCTTCTGGTGCATAAAAAGCTCAGAGTTGATAACATTTTTTGGTGGCTCCAATGCTTCAAACATTCCTTTTTTATTTATGTTTTCATCCAACAACTTGAAAATCTCATCTAAACTCTTCCCATCCTTGCTAACATTCTTCTCCTTCACAACCACCGCATCCAATAACATAGATGACTCAACATTATCCGAAATCAAATGCAACCCACCACGCAAAATTGCTGATTTCACTCTCGGAAATTCCTCAATCCTGGAAAAAATGTGAACTCTACATGAACGCCTGTACCTATTTGCCCTTCCCGGTATGTTTGGTACAATTCCTAATACACACCCAATACGAAAGTACTATTAGGAATTATTATCAAGGGCATACCAATGCAAAAGCATAATTGAAATCAGTACCTACGGCATACCAATACAGAATTGTAGCAAAAATCAATTGATACATGCACAATTACAAAACAAATACTGAATCAAAAATTAAATAGTGACAAACCGAAAGCTACTAGTAAAAGTAAAAGTTAATTCTGACTCCCCGTAAAAAAAAAAAAATGAAAGAAAATCAAAATTAAAAATAACATCAATAAAAATTTTTTTTGGTAAACTCAACAAACTCATTTCACAATCGTTTCTTCATGAACAGCAAGCCGACGTTTTACGAAAAAATGAACAACAAGCCATAATTCATTTACATGCAATACAAATAACAGGAAAAAAAACATCTTCAACCTCTAGTACCTAGTAAGTAGTAACACTAATTAATAACCCCCGAAAAGATAAAAATAAAAAAGAAATCACAAAATTAATAGCCAGAAATTATTCAACGATTACCTTTCACAATTATCAGATGTTGATCAATCAACGGTGCTAGAACCTTTGCCGCGGACCGCTCGATGTGACCCACTTGAGCTAACATTACGTTGAGCACTTTGATAGCATTTGGGTCAGAGAGATTCGACGGTTCACGAATCAAACCAACCATTTCTCGACCACTGATCGTACCCGAATAGTTATGTAAATTCACTATGTTGACTATAACAAACCCAACCATATGGGTCACCCTGGACTGAGAGAGAGTGTTGGAGGATTCTGGGGAGTCATTTTCTTCTTCTGCGGGACCATTTTCTTCATCTACGTCGTTGGTTTGGAAGGGACAGGATGGCCAAGAGTCTAGACTCATGAAGACAGACACTGGGTCTTCATCTTCTATCTCTACCATTTTTCTCAGCGTTCTGCTTTGATCAGATAGAGCAATTGAGGGATCGATTGTTTCTCAAGTTCCACCGATCAAATAAGAGATTTGGGTGTACTTTGTGGGCTACGGCCTGTTTGTCTCAGCAGTGCAGTTTTCTCCTGTTCCTTTCTTTTTCTTTTTGCCTTTTTGGTAAGACAGTTGTGGGTGCGGTTCCACTGCGGTAAACACCAACCGCATGATAAGCTGTTTAATAAAACGCCATCGTTTTGAGCCTTTTTTAGATTTTTTTTCTTTTAAAACTCACCCCAAACAACGTCGTTTCTAGCCAGGACATATCCAAATCAGAAAAACCCCTCTCCTGCTTGTTTTTCCGTCAAACAGTGTTCATTCTCTCTCTGTCTGGCTTCTCTCGCCTTCTCTCTCCTCCTTCGTCAATTGTGTCTGGCTTCTCCCGCCTTCTCCCTCTTTCTTCGTCAACTGCAGGAAGGATCTTACATGAAGATTGATACCTGTTGACTAGAAGGCCACGAATATGGATTAAATCGAACATCACGATGGCCATCCTAGCACGATAAAAAAAGTCAGACATCACTTCTTCATCTCAAAATCAAATATCCCCTTTTCTCCCCTTCTTCTTCGTCAAACGATGGTACAGTATGGAAACCAAATTTTGTTCATATCATTCATTCTTCATTTAATTTTTTCATTTTATGTTGTTTTCATTTCATACTTATGTGTATATTTTTATTTTTTATTATTTTGTTTTTAAGTTTTTAAATTTAGGTCAAGACATAATTTTTGTGGAACTTGAAACAATAAATATTTTCTATTTTCTGGAATTTGAAACAATTTTTGTGAGCTTGAAACATTTTTCATTAATATTTTCTTGAACTTGAAACAATTAATATTTTCTATTTTTTGTGGTCAATGTTGTTCCAATTTGATTTTTATTTTTTTGGAATGTCATACATATATTATGTGTTTCATTCACCTCATAATTTCATTTCAATTAAATTTTTTATTGTAAGATACTATAATGGATAGTTTGGGAGTTAATGTGACCGAAAATAGACCTCGTATTGATATGTAATTTGATACTAAAGACGATGTTTATGTGTTTTAGAATAATTATGGAGAGTCTGTAGGATTTAGTGTGAAAAAATATTTTCAAAATAAAAGTTTGAAAGATGACGTTGTTATTTACTGAAAATATGTTTGTTGTAAACAATGTCAAAGAGCTCCTGATAAAAGGGAGTGACAAATAAAGAAATCTCGAGTAGAGGCACGAACAAATTGCTAAGCTCATATGTGCATTTTTTAATAGAAAAATTGACAAATTTATTGTGGTGAAATGGAATGGTAACCACAATTATCATTTGCACTTTGCTGAATGTATGCATATGATGTCATATCAACAGAAGGTTACTATAACACAATGCATTAATATTGATATGACAACGGATTGTGGAATATCACTTAAGACTTCCTATGAACTTTTAAGTACCCAGTTGGGAGGAAAAGAAAGTCTAAATTTTACTTTTCAAGACAAAAAAAATTATNAGGCCACGAATATGGATTAAATCGAACATCACGATGGCCATCCTAGCACGATAAAAAAAGTCAGACATCACTTCTTCATCTCAAAATCAAATATCCCCTTTTCTCCCCTTCTTCTTCGTCAAACGATGGTACAGTATGGAAACCAAATTTTGTTCATATCATTCATTCTTCATTTAATTTTTTCATTTTATGTTGTTTTCATTTCATACTTATGTGTATATTTTTATTTTTTATTATTTTGTTTTTAAGTTTTTAAATTTAGGTCAAGACATAATTTTTGTGGAACTTGAAACAATAAATATTTTCTATTTTCTGGAATTTGAAACAATTTTTGTGAGCTTGAAACATTTTTCATTAATATTTTCTTGAACTTGAAACAATTAATATTTTCTATTTTTTGTGGTCAATGTTGTTCCAATTTGATTTTTATTTTTTTGGAATGTCATACATATATTATGTGTTTCATTCACCTCATAATTTCATTTCAATTAAATTTTTTATTGTAAGATACTATAATGGATAGTTTGGGAGTTAATGTGACCGAAAATAGACCTCGTATTGATATGTAATTTGATACTAAAGACGATGTTTATGTGTTTTAGAATAATTATGGAGAGTCTGTAGGATTTAGTGTGAAAAAATATTTTCAAAATAAAAGTTTGAAAGATGACGTTGTTATTTACTGAAAATATGTTTGTTGTAAACAATGTCAAAGAGCTCCTGATAAAAGGGAGTGACAAATAAAGAAATCTCGAGTAGAGGCACGAACAAATTGCTAAGCTCATATGTGCATTTTTTAATAGAAAAATTGACAAATTTATTGTGGTGAAATGGAATGGTAACCACAATTATCATTTGCACTTTGCTGAATGTATGCATATGATGTCATATCAACAGAAGGTTACTATAACACAATGCATTAATATTGATATGACAACGGATTGTGGAATATCACTTAAGACTTCCTATGAACTTTTAAGTACCCAGTTGGGAGGAAAAGAAAGTCTAAATTTTACTTTTCAAGACAAAAAAAATTATCTCCGTGAAAGGAGGCAACGAGACTTGAGGTATGGTGAGGCGGGTAGTTTGTTGAAGTATTTTCAAAGAGAAACAACTAAAAATCTATCATTCTATTATGAAGTGCAATTGAATGTAGATGAGCATATTACTAATATTTTTTGGACCGACCCAATGATGATTATTGATTATAGCAACTTTGGGGATGTTGTCTCATTTGACACTACTTTCAAACGAACAAGGAGTATCGATCTTTTGCTTGTTTTACTGGTTTCAACCATTTCAGGGAGACTGTCTTATTTGGAGTTGCATTATTGTACAATGAAACGACAGTATCATTTTAGTAGTTGTTTGAGATATTCTTATAAGCTATGTTTGAGAAATATTTTATTACCATTTTCACCAAACAAGATCAAGCGACGACTAAAGTTATTTCTGTAGTGATGCCATAGGTATATCATGGGTTATGTTGTTGGCACATTTGCTAAAATGCTTTGAAACATTTAGGGAACATATATAAGAATGGTTCATAACACAAGTTCATTCAAATTAAATCCACAAGTTCATTCACAACACAAGTTCCATCAATACACCATTGCTCTTACATCTCTATTTCACTATAATCATACATATAAGCATTACCACTAGTAACGTGACTACAAACATATATGTCTTCGTTGATTTTTCATTTGTCTCAACACGTTGAACTATATTAAAAAATTCTTCAACTTCAATGTCATTACATTTTCTTCAATTCGTTGTACATCTATCCTTTCATTTTTAATTTCTGAATAAAGCAGAGTAGTAGGAGTCATCCACTTAAAAAATTGACATTCCTCGTCTGGACAGTTGTAGTATAGCTTTTCAGGATTTTTTGCAGATTCAAAAACTTTGATAATCACTTTTTTCTTACAATTGGTGCATTCCATATTACAATATCTTAACTCCCTGTTACTTGTTGTCGTGCTTGAAGATGTCATTCTTCAATACTACAAACATGAAAAAGACAATAGTAAGTATGTAGATTTGGAACTACAATAACAAAACCAAACAGAGTATTGCATATATAAGTCATGAGCAGCTATTGCATTCTTTGCCTAAAGCATCTTTATTCTGGGTAGGGATTCTAAATAAGTTGTCATACATTTTAGCTGAAGGGATCAATCAATTAAATCCATGAGAAGTTGAATAATTTTTCATCACAAGGTTTCCAAAGGCCCCTAAATGTGCAACAACCTAAATGTGCATCAAGAATCAGTCAACTAAATCCATGGAAAGTAGAATAATTTTTCATCACAGGGTTTTCAAATGCCTCTAAATGTGCAACAACCTAAATGTGTAGCAACTTAATTTTTCATCACAGAGATAATGATATAGAAGAAGATATCAGAAGCAAATGAGGTAACAATTTCTACACAATTTATACTTGGTAGAGTGAATAATGCATTTATTTTACAAGGTAGATCAAAGTAGGCAAGCGCCTGAGACTTGTAATCGATCTGCAGGAGTTTAACAAACCAGCAAATGTCAATCCAGAATGTTAGTTCTGGACCATGTAACACATAAATATGACAGAAACAGTAAGTCATAGCATCGAAGGCATTTAACCAATTGATATGTACTCCTCTTTGCATATGACCTATATATATATACACTCACACACACACCCACACAAACTCCATTATCGTTGGAGTTGCAAGAGTTACTTGATGTTGGTGTTGGAGTTGCATAAAATACTTTAAGGTTTTGGATTTTGGGGGGTTTTTGGAGATAGTTGTAGAGTAGCTTGATGAAGCTGGGTTTGGTTGATAAAGAAGAGGAGGAAAACGACGTCATTTTGATCTAGGATTTTCCAAAAAAAAAAAAAAAATCGTAAAACGACTGTGTTTTATTAAACTGCATATCATGTGATTAGTCCCTTACTGTAGAAGAGCTGAACCCGACAACTGTTGGGAATAATCCAAGAGGAAAATTACACTTATGTCTCCTACACTATGCAGATTATTTTAAATCATTCCATAAATAATTCACTTTCTCTTATTTCACCTCAAATTAATTGGTTGAAAACTTGAAATTTCACACTACCCAAATTTTTGATCCTTGTCTAATTTTTCATGGAAAATTAGGATAAAAATAGAATATTCTACCCTGATGAAGAGTAAAAAAACATATCTCCTAACATTGTGGAATCTCATTTTTGCCCCGATTTGTTCTTAAATATTGGACAAAATTTAGCAAGTGAGATAATGTGAAACTCATATCAATAGTATAGAGTGCAATGTGAGAAAACGAATAAGCTAGTGGATAAAGAGGAATTAAGAGCATAGTTTAGTGGGTCTAAGTGTAATTTATTGTACCAAAAAAAAAAAATGTATTTTGTTAAACCTGTGGCTGTGATGCACTATGCACGATGCACAAATTCTCACCAGCAAGTGTTATAGTATTCTAATCTCTGGTGTGTTAGTGTTGCATGTCCTTTTTTGTTCATTGTTTGATATTATGGTGTCTTAGGCATATAGAAAACACATCAATCTATTTCGAACTTGGTAATTAAACTCTACTATATGGACAATTACAAACTTATTTTAATTGAGAATCTACTTATAAAAATTTGTTAGATATGGTGCATCATTTTTATTAAAAATGGGGAATGCCTTCTAACCTCAAATCTCCTCACAAAGGAGTGTTTGGAATTACAAAAGTTTTTATAACCAAGATTTTTTTAACTAATAAAAAATTATAATTTTGAGGAAAAATGCTTCTTTTTTTTGTGGAATCTACGAGAATAATAGTTCCTTTTTTAATTTAGGTTTTATCCTAAATATTTTTTTCTCATCGTTTTTTATTTTTTATTACTATATATATATAGTTGCTATTGAAAAAAAGGATAGACTAAAAAGGAGTGTCCAGAGACTATTTCGATTTGTCTTCATTAATGGGATCATGAGACTCTTAATCACATCTACTATTTCTCTCAAAAATGAATCTAATTAGGTTAATATAACAATCAACCACTAAATTTTAATTTAAATTATAAGAATTGACCCTCCAATCTCAAAATAGGGTGAGAAATTAACTATATTAAATGCAATATTAAGAGAGTTAATTGTCTCTTCCTCTCTCCTGTCTCACTTTCTCAGTCCACACCCCAACCACCTCCCTCGTACTTTTTTGTTGACAAACACGCCTCTACATTAGGTCATAGATGAAGGCTTGAGGCGCCAAGTTGGACGCTGGCGGGGGCCACCGAGGATTCGGTCGGTTGAATTGTAGGAGAGCAGTTACTCAGTTTGCATGCAATTTGGGATCCACACGTGGTACGTTAGTGGGGTTACAGATGGAATTTTTCACATCTGAGTGGGGCCCTTACAATTATTAAGCTTCTCCTTTCCCATACGCTACAATTTCAAACTTGTAGCTACATCTTTTCCCAATTTAAACGTGAAAGCCGTGTGCTATTTTCCTGATTAATTTATTTTATATAAATAAAATTTCATTAAATATACGACAAATGATGTTAATTAGATAAAAATGTATTAGAGATAATTTTTTTTTCATTCTTATCAATTCTAGTAATCATGGCACATAGTGACAGCTTATGAATGATAATTTGTACTAGGTAAATAAAATAAAACGATTTCCTTCTCAACTTCACCCTGTAAACTTAGTAAAATTTTATTACACGAGCGAAAAATTTGACTTTAAAAACGAAAGAGTCGCAAACACTAAATCAAAGGCAGATAAATCTCACCAAAAGCTGCTTTCCACTTTGACCAAAACTCAAGATAAAAACACCACCTTCTCGCAACTTACAACATCTCTCAATAGGTGACAAAATGGTTTTGTTGCCTATTCCATTAGGAACCACAATTTTTTTGATCAACTTTAGTCCGAATGTTCTCCGGACAACAACTCGCTGGTATACACTCCACATAGGCAATTGGGCTGTGAGGTGAGTCACTATTTTTTTTCCCCATTATCCCCTGCTTTTTGAGAGCCTGATGATAAAAATGCCCCTCAAGACCGTCGAGTGCCATACATAAGACATTTTCTCGTCTTCGATTTAAACAACAATTAATGTTAGAGATCACATCGGTTCAATGTGTAAAGTTAGATGATCAAATTGATAGAATTCAAACTTTGAGGACCAAAATAAGATTAACAACAAAACTCGAGGACCAGCAATTGAACTTGATTGCCCTACACATGAAGGAAAAAAAAAGGAACAAAAAAAAGAGAAAACATGATAACCCCTTCAAGGCAATTTTAATCAATTTGTTGGTCTTCTTTGCCAAGCAGCAGATGAAGCACATCTTTCTTGTGGCTACTTCTAGGATAGTTTTCAAAAGAACATTTTCTATGATCCTGCTAAATGTGCTCCAATGGTTCCCATGGGATCAGAGAATCTTTTTTGAACTCTGAAGTTTGCACTACTAATTCTCGAGAAAGACATATTTTTGGAATAATGCTTAATCAAGATCATCATAACAATATTACACTCTTAAAAATTTTCCTCCAGCACCTTGCAACCAACATCCCTGAAGGGGAGGCCCCCGCCCCCTGGGGGGAAGGGGTGGTTTGGATGAAGGTCGGGGATTGGGTACTAGTCCAAGACAAAGACATTGATCCAAACCAAGATACAACATGTAAAAGTGAAAGAACAAAACTCTCCAGAGGGGGAAAGAGGAGGAGAATTTGGGGGGGGGGGGGGGGGGG